GGGGGGGGGGGGGGGGGGGGGCGGGGGGTTGGGGGTTGGGGGTTGGAAGTGTAACATCCACAGCCATGCATCCCTCTGAAGTCCCAGCAGGTTTGCCCTGAATTTCTCTCCTCATTGCCTTCACCTTTGCTTGCACTCACTGGCAGGTGAACAGAGGGGGGTTGGATGGTCGCAACATAATTCTTCCATCAGCTTCATTCACTTTTAGAGGTAGAAAAACTTTCAGCCATCAAACTGTCACTGGCATCTGTCTCTTTACTCATACAGAAACATAAACCCCTCTGACCTACACAGATATAACTCTTCATATCAGTCTGGCACTGGAGCGCTTTAGGGGTTCAGTGCTTGGCTTACGGCCACTTGAACACACCCTGCTTTGGAGGGTCAAATAAACAACTCTCTAGTTACTGGTTAGCTTCTCTACCTCTGTATTCCCTTAACAGTCTCAAGGCGTCATTCATTAGCTCTTACTTGATGGTCTGCTCAATTCTGTGGATCTGATGATCCAGAAGTATTAAATCAAAGGCAGCTGCTATAGACTTGCAGCGTTTTCTTCAAGACATTTCACCTCCAACGGAGGAGGGGTGCCAGGCATTTAACCTCTGTAAGGTCGTTCACACATTGAGAACCGTTAAGTTCACATGTGCCACATTTGGCAACATGCATACCAAATGCATGAGATCTCATCTGTGGTTTCGTGCACACTGTTCATAACAATTACAGTGTACATACTTTGTACTACTGTTGTTCTCGAACTTTACAGCATTAAACAGGAAGGCTGGAAGGTAGGTAAAGAAAGCAGAAGCAGAACTTTGGCAGTTCTTAGTTAAAACTTTTATAGTAGCTGTATGTCACAAATGTACAGCACGTGTGTTGATTACCAGTGTACTTTGGAAGAAGGCGGGAATTTAAGTGATTGGGTGGGGGGTACCACAAACCAAAAAGCCAGTCATCAGCAAAGAGCCATGTGCAGCCATCACGGGCACAGAACATGATTTTTCACATTTGTTTGCGTCCAGAGCAAGAGGCATGCAATGCGCCTTAAAGCCATGAGTCATCGGTGAATAGGCGTGTTCTTCAAATTAATACGTTCTTAAAACGTGTAGAATTTAATATAATAGCGCACGCATTTGGACATTTTTTTGGAAGCTAATTGCTGAAGTGGGGGTGCATGTTAGTTTGTCAGCTTCAGAAAGTTTTTCGGACCACATCAGTTCCAATGTTGTAAAGGTGTGGGTTAGGGGGTTTCAGTTCCTTTTCAATGATTCTACAAGCACTTCATCTGAAGTGACTTTAGTATGTATACAGACCAAATCAGGCGTTGTGTGCGCGTTTACTGTAAAACAATCAGAAAATAACATTTTATTTCTGTAGGTCACTTCTTGGTATTGCAATTTTTCAGAATAGTGCTGCAAGTCACACAGATGTTGAAACTGGGTACACAAAATAAACCAAGGGAGGACAAAACTGGAAGAGTATTGTTTGGTCCATGAACTCCCTGTTTCATTGACAGTTCAGGCTGGCTCTGAAGCAATTGAACCGTTCTGATCGCCGGATTGGCCACCACTTTGTGATGTCAGGTTGAGTTTCTAAGTTTATTATGCCTTAACTTTTTCACTGCAGGTCGCTGCAGCCCCACCACGACAGCCCAAACTGACTACCCTCACTCAAATGAGTGGGAGTTTTTGCTGCAGCGCCTCATTTGGTCTGAATCAGCCCTTAGAACCACGAGTAAAGGTGTGAACGGGTCTTAAAATGCCTGAGAAAGGGATGTCAGGATGGCATTATAAATGGCTCATACACGGTTTTCTTGACTCCTCTGTTGAGCAATGGTTGCTCCACATAGATGGCATCCTTCACTACTCTTTCAAACCATCTGTCCACATATATGCATATAGTAGTCCTCAAGGCAGTGACCCCCGTCCTTTAGATGTAGGTAGATTGCTAAGTCTTTACCTGACTGAGCTGCACATGTGATCTTAGCAACTTTCAACTTGTGAATGCCTCTACTCTATGCCTTTACTCAGGAGTACTTTTATACACTGCCTATTGTGGTCCTATAACCAAAAGCTGCTCCCTGTTAACAGGTGCAATAGAGCTGTGCAAACATAAGGGGTAGTGGTGAGTCCTACTGAAAATAATTGCTACTAGAAAGTACTCGTATGACATACTTTCTCAGTTTACTGGTCTAGAGTTAAGGGGTTTTGGTTCGATATGAGCGTCATATTTTGGAGCTATATAAGGTAAGACACAAAGGGAAGGGAGCAGGCTTCAGAGGACACTTCTGGTTTGTGCAAATAGGAGACTAAGAAATACATATACTCATAGTGAGTTATTTACACACACAAAGCAAATGTCTTCTAACACATTGGCTACACAAGATCAAATATAGATTCTTCACAAACCAAAATATCATGCACAGTTTACTAAGGCAACTTCAAAAACTGGAGTGAAAGTCAGCTGTTAACACTGTATGGAACAAAACCCCACACTGAGTTGAAACACTGGGGCACTGTAGCACGGCAAGTCTGTCAACATGAATTTTATATTAACGATGGAGTCAGATTTTATGATAGGCTCAATGTTTGTTTTATGTGAGCAGAGGTACAGTAAATTAACCGTGTGTTGCTACTATTTCCACATCCAGACTGCTTGTACAACTTCAAGACTGTCAGGTGACTTTACACACCCGTAGCTGCCATATTGGTGGTTCTTTTGACAGGGATTTAATCATTTCATCACGGATAAATCTGATACTGTTTAAGTTACAGCAGCGTCTAAGCCAGCTGCCATATCCAGGTAGCTAACCATCAGCTCCATATATTATGCAGAATAAGATTGAACCTCATGAGCCTCATGATAATATTTTGCTGTTTAATTAGCATGTTAGCTCACTACAGCTAACAAAGACTTAAATAGTGGAAATGCTCTAAATATTTATAAAGATACACACCCTGAGATTGTTATTTAGCAAGTGCCTAGTCGCATCCAAGGCCCTAGCCATCATTACCATTTTCTTTCTGTGGATTGGGAGGTTTAGGAACTTGGGGGGACTTCGGGCAATTTGACAACATTTATAAGATGTGTGGCAAAATCATAATAAATAATAGATGAGCATTTAGACTTTCATTCTTGGAAAACAAATGACATAAAGCACAACTGAACAGTTGACTGAATGATGGCATTTATGACCACGGTATTTCTTAAATCCTAGCTACAGCCCTGAAAGCAGCACATATTCTGGAATGTGACTGTTGAGCTGGGAAGAAACAAGAAAATTTTACAATTTGGGGGTGCAATAACAAAATCAGTGAGTGTATCTTTGAGCTACACCTTAGGGTAGAGATAAGCCTAGTAAGACAAACATTTAGCGTAATTGGAAACAAATGAACCTCATTGGACTTTACTTCAAACTTAACCAACCTCCATTCACACCACAACCCTTTACTTCTGTACACCTGCAACTGTATGATGGTTCATGGTGTGGTAGCTACCATAGATGGCCAGAGCCCTGGGTGTGCTCTGAATGGCAATTATACAAGCTTGTGTATACTATGTGTACACTATAACAGAGCAGAGTAGTTTTATTTAGGGGACATTTTTTCTTAGGTTGAAATGCCTGTGTGTGTCAGCAGGATACTTATAAATCTCTGGTATGTGCAACTAAGTAATGGCAGCATGTTGCCGATTGTGCAAATGTGTGCAAATATGTACTGTATGTGTGTGTGTGGGTGTGGAGGGCGAGTGTATCTCAGTTCAGTCATTTCAAGTGCAGTAGTACAAATGTATTTCCAGAAACCCTGTGTGTCTCCATGGTCAGCTGCCATGAAAATGAGTGAATGCACATGAGTGTGTGTACATGTAGGTTAGCATGCTTGTGAATGTGCTGAGCTGTGTTGGCCTTTATGCTGTGTTTTTAAAAGGCAGCTCCTCTTTTCTGTGTGTCTTCGCTCCCCCTCCTGTGACCTCTAGAAGATGCTTTGTCTTCGGTTCTTTCCTCGACCTGAAGACAGAAAATTTGAGATGGAGCACTTATTTATTTAAGATCAAGAATATGTATTTATCATTATACAAAACAAGGTTGTACAACAAAATCAAAGTTTATAGATACACCTAGGAAATAATTCTACAGTGTTTCAGCAATAAAACTGAAAAAAAGTCAGACACCCTTTATGGATGCTACATGCTAGCATAAGTTGAGTATTATGAAGTTAGGTCTTGAAGCTTTACATGAGCCTAACCAGAGGAAATAAAGTCATAGTCAGACTTATTAAGTATATGAAGAGCTTATTACAGCAAAACAGTGAATTCATAGACAACTGCTTGTTTATTTTCATTTTCTTTTCAATTCCTGTGAGACTCTCTTTGTGGTATTTTTATTTGTGTCAGAGTAAACAAAATCAGCATGCTGGCTTCTTGCAGAGCGTAGCTAATTAGCAAAGTACATCTGCAGACACATCACCATTTCACATGTTGTGGTCAGGAACAAAACAGAGCTGGATTTAATTCCATTTCATTCCAGACAGTTCAGGAAACTTATAGTGCTACAGTATCCATTCCATTGTTATCACTAATTACTCATATCTTTAAACTTTTTACTTTCTTATTGTGTGTGATCTAAAACTATCAACTATGAGAATATCAGGAAAAACTAATGGTAATGCACAGTATATGTGCTGTATGTGCATGTTGTGCACCACATTATGGCTGGCCACTATGTGAAGAAATTAGTCTAATAAAGGTGACTTGAACAAAGTTTGTAGTATAGTCATATATAGTGTGAGATTGTGTGGAAAGAACCTTACCTAAAGGCTGAAACACTGAGCTGCGGTGGCCTGGGTCCTTCTGGAGCTGCACCTCTCTGAGGGAAAACACTGAAGCAGCTAAAACAAAGAGGGGAGAAAGAACAATTTAACAAAAAAGACACCACTACTCTATTAACATTGTATACACTTCTTTTGTGTTGCCTCTAATTTTAAGCATGTACTGAAGCTGTACTGATATGACACACTTTATCATACAAACCAGAGGCTCTAGCTTGAGAAACTTCTAGGACAAATGCACAAATGTGATAACCAGTGTTTAGAGTTTAAAACCAAAATCTGTTTCTAAAATGTGAAAAGAGTGTTTCTGTGGCCTTGGGCTGGAGTACATTTACATTTTAGGTTTAAGATCAATGTTGCTTTTCAAACAAGACAGTATATTAGTATGTCCTAACTTGGTATGTGCCTTAATATTATTTGTGTATGTAAGAGAGAGAGAGAGTATGTATTGGAACCCTCACTTATGATAATGCTGGAAAAGGTTTAATTGTTGGCGGGATGGGAGCAGCGTCAGTGGACGGTAGAAAGGAGCCTGGTTTATGGAGGGCTTTGTGTGTAAAGAGGAGGATTTTGAACTGAATGCGCTGTAAGTAGCAACGCTGTCATGAGTTTCTTTTATAATAAAATTATTACTGTTAGAGACAAAATAATCACCAAATGCTCTCAACAGGTATCACTGGCTCTCCAAG